TAACACATATATATATATATATATATATAATAATAATAATAATAATAATAATAATAACTTTTACACATTTTTTTCTCATTTTAAAAGGAAAGCTTTTTATTATAGGGCCCACCAAAACATCTCTCCATTTTTTCTTTAATTTCTCTACCAAAAACAATCACTTTTTCAGGTTCTCCATACTTTCCTACACTTCCTTACTATTGTCCTCCACTTTCCCTTTCCTTAACAAACCCTTTTTGTTATGTTTGGGAGAAGTGATTTAGTAGGAAATGGAGAAGAAAGGGAGGGATTATCAAGGAATTAAAGAAAACATGTTTATTTGGGAAAGAAGATTTAAGTGGATTTGAGAGGATATTATGATGAGTCTCACGTGGATTAAATTCTACTATTTTATGGGTAGGTTTATGGGATTTTTTAAAAAGTGTGGAGAAAAAAGAGACACTAGATAGAGGGTTGGATAGTGTCAATCAAAAACTCAATACTTTTTGAAAATATGAAGTAGTAACATAACTATAAGAGTGTAGACGAAGAGATAAGTAAGAAGAATACAAAATATTTTTTATATTGGTTCGTCTCAACCATTGAGACTATATCCAATTCTTGATTAACCTGATCAAGTTTCACTATCTTTTACAAAGATACAAATATTATTTTACAAGCAACTTCTGCTTCAACCTAATTGTTCTTTGACTACTTGCCTCTTCAAGCAACCAAATATTCTTTTAACAAAAAGTCTCTTCAGGCTTCAAACAACCAAATATTATTTTAACACAAAGCCTCTCTAGGTTTCAAACAACCATGTATTTTTTTATAGTCAAGTCTCTTTAGGCTCAAAGTAATAACACCAAGTTAAAATTGGGAAAGTTAACAATGTTGTTTCATCTTACTATAAAAACGTGATACAACCTATTAAGTACAGTGTTTCTTAAAGAAATAATGAATGTTTTTTTATATAATAAATATGTTCTCTTTGCTTTCTGAAACTTCAATATTCTTTATATAGGTATTTCATGAAGATGACTGTTGCAAATCTTTGAACATCTCTTACAAGCTTGCTTTGTCTTTCTTCATCTTGGTTCCTTGTAAAGGGAAGTGTTCATTAGTTCATTAAATGCTTGCATTAAATGTGTTTCACCAAATTGCCATTTCTTTTCTGATTAAGGCTTTTAGGTCCAAAAGAGAGGAACTGTTTGTGTGTCAATCTGAAACAACTTTTACAATTTTTCGTGCTTTACAGGATATGCTAGTCCTTTTGTTGATGCAAAGCATGTCTTTAGTTCCTTTAGTAAATTCTGAGTACCGAAGAAACTTTTTCAAATTCAATTTGTTAAGGAATCATGTGAACAAAGATGATTTTGTCATCAAACATCGTAAAAGATATAATTTAAGAGCATTTTATCTTTCAAAGGAAGTGTTTCATCTGTGAGAATTAATGTCAAGATAACCTATCGTTTGCTATCAAATTTTTCATAATGAATTATCTAAAAACTTTTCTCTAGAAAAATGTTTATGTTTGTTTTCATTAAAGTTTAAGACCTGAAAGATTTAAGATTATCTTTTGACCTAATAATCCCACCCTTTCTGATGGTGACAAACACATTTTTTAAAAGATAAAATTTTAACCAAGATAAATCTAGTCGATTTCAATTTTAGACGAAGGAAATTTTTTTATAAAAACTTTTACAAAGTAAGAGAGTTGATGTGATTAGACGATATGTTCATTTTAATAAAAACATTTAGAGTTTAAGAACGAGTCATCATTTTTCAAATCAAGAGGCACATTTATACTAGATAAGTGATATCATTCTAAGTACTTTGTTCATGCATTTTACTTAGAGCAAAAAAATTTGTTTTGAGACATCAGAGCAATAATTATCATAACAAAGATTTATAAAAAGAAATGTAACAAAAATCATATATATATATATATATATATATATACTTCGATACTCTTTTA